GAGGAGGAGCTGGTCGATGGAGATACTGCAGAAGGCACCGAATTCACACATGGGACTTCACATTCCTCCTCCTTTTCACTTCACTTCCTTGTGGGGTGAAGGAAGGTCTCTAGGGCAGTGGTCACCAACCAGTTGGGCCAGGGACCACGGGTGGTCCATGAGAAAATGTTGGTGGTCTGCAGAGAAATGTCACCCCCAAAGCAATTAATTCAGGCTGTGCGGGAACACAAGGCTGCGCCACCCACATGGCCCACGGGAACATGAGGCTTGCATTGTTTGCATTACGATCAACATGAGATAGTGAGGGGAGGGGGGAAAGGGCAGAGGGGGCATCTTGCCCCACTCACCCCACACGCCTGGCCTGACCACCAGGCTGCTTCTTTCCACTACTTTCTTCTTCTGCTTTTGGCTGCATGCAAGGAAAGCAGCAAAAGTCTTTCTTTTCTCTCCCCCAAACTCTGCCAGAAATGAGTCTTTGGGACCCTGCAAGGCCTCCTGCTCCAAGAGGCTGCGCCAGCAAAGACTAATTTCTGGCGGAGTTTTGGGGGAGAGAAAGAAAGATTTCCACTGCTTCTGCTGCTTTCCTTGCATGAAGCCAAAAGTCTCTCTCTCTCCCCCAGAGAATGGAGCTGTAGACGGTATCCTGTGATCCCAAATAAAGAATGATCGATTGGTAGGAAAACGGGGTGGGGAATTTTCCTGCAGACTTTTTGGGGATTTTCCCAGGGTCTCTGGTCCGCGGGATTTAAAATTATGAGTTTGGTGGTCCCTGAGGTCCAAAAGGTTGGCGACCCCTGCTCTAGGGCTTCCTTCACCTCACATGGAAGTGAAGTGAGAAGGAGGAGGACCGTGGAATCCCATTTGTGAATTTGGTGCATTTAAAAAAAAATATTTTAATATATATATTATTATTATTTACAACTATAAGTATACAACACAGTGCCACTGTTTTGGCGCAACATTTGCCATACATGCAAAAATATTACTAGATCCTTAACATTCATATTATTGATACAATATTTACTTTTAAATTCTATTCATCCTGGTTATTTCTGTTCTGACCTTCCCTTCTTTTTTGCAACCACTGATAAAACGCATTCTATGTTTCCTAGTACTCTGATTCCCCCTGGTTTTTCAGTTCTGAGATTAGCCTATCCGATTCTGCACAAGCCATTATTGTCCTTATTGTCTCTCTTTCTGGTGGTATGATTTCATTCTTCCAATATTGTGTGTATATCATTCTCGCCGCTGTCAATACATACTGTATATTATTAAATATGCTATACCTTTCCTATAATCTTCTGTCATTATTCCCAAGAGAAATAATTCTGGTTTAAATGGAATATGCTCTCCCACCATTTGTTCCACCCATGTCTGCATCAATCTCCAGTATTTTCTTGCATAGTTACACATCCACCACATGTGATAGAATGTACCTGGTAAGTAATTCAGTGAATTCGGTGCATTTCTGTGGTATCTACAAGACCTTCGAGCAGAGGTGGTATTCAGCAGGTTCTGATCAGTTCTGGAGAACCAGTAGCAGAAATTTTGAGTATTTCAGAGAACTGGCAAATGCCACCTCTGACTGGCCCCACCCCCATATATTTTCTGCCTCCCATTGAGTCCCAGCTGATCGGCTGGGTCCTTCTTTGTTGCCCTGCACAGGAGACCAGAGCTGGAAAGCAGGTTAGTGGGGTGGGGAGGGAACGGGGAGTTTGCAGGAATCTTCCCCTGCCATGCCCACCAAGCCACGCCCACCAAGCCACGCCCACGGAACTGGTAGTAAAAAAATTTGAATCGCACCACTGCCTTTGAGGTATTATTTTCAAAATGGGGCAAAGACAAGTTTGGAGAATGGAGGTGAAAAGATGGCGGAGTGATGTCATTGGCGCCCTCCAATACAGCCCACTGGATGAATTCTCCCCCATGCAACACCCCCCCTCCCCACAATCCCATTCCTTCTTCCCACTCATGAATATTTCTGGACGATGGAACTCAAATGCACATTACCATGTTTGGGGGAAAACAGCGGAGATTTAGACCGGGCTGGACATTCTGGCCGGGGTGCTACAAGCTGCACTGGACGGACTTGCTTGTCCGCAAGCTTCCTGAAGCAAGTCTGCCGGTTCTCAAACATGCTGCGCACATTCTCCAGCTTGATCTGGACCATCTGTACCCGAGCCTGCGGACCCCCCCCCCCCAAAATAGGAATCTTAAAAGCAGCAATCACAACTGGGTATTACATTTCATCAGGTCCAGGTCCAAGGTAGATGAAGACTGCTTGGACTCAGGCAGAGGTGGTATTCAGCAGGTTCTGACCGGTTCTGGAGAACTGGTAGAGGAAACTTTGAGTAGTTTGGAGAACCGGCCAATGCCACCTCTGACTGGCCCCGCCAACCCCATCTCTTCTCCGCCTCCCATTGAGTCCCAGCTGATTGGCTGGGTCTTCTTTGGTTGCCCTGCACAGAAGAACGGAGCTGGAAAGCAGGTTAGTGGGGTGGGGAGGGAATGGAGATTTTGCAATAACCTTCCCCCAGGAATGGGGAAGGAATGGAGATTTTACAGTATTCGTCCCCTGCCACCCCACCAAGCCATGCCCACTAAGCCAAGCCACGCCCACCAAGCCACAGAACTGGTAGTAACATTTTTGAATCCTACCACTGGATTCAGGGCAGTGGATCTGTCTTTCCAGACCATCTTAGTTGTTGATGCTCCAGATCAATAGGTGCTTTTCGTCATGAACTTTCTACTGGTTCGAAATAGCTACCTAGGACATCTGGAAGAGCGATTCCTCCTGCTTCACCAATGGATAGTGGAAGAGCGACAGGAAAAAGCAAAACTGTGCAATTATCTAAGTGGTTGGGAGCTTCTTGACTTTCTGGGAGGTCACAGAAAACTATCTTGGGATGTTGCTAACGGGACTCATTGAAGATTCTTTTTTCAGCACAGTTGGGTTTATTTAGGGGTTAAAGAGTTGGAATCTGGACAGCTCTCAAAGGCAAGGACATATCCTTACCCCGCTTCCCAATTTCAAAATGCTACTTAGAATGGCTGAACCTGGCCGTTTGGTCCCCCTATTTCATGGATATATCGGGAGGCACAAATAGGAAGCTAGAGGGAGGCTTTCGGAGAAACCAGAGGTATCAAAATGAGCGCCAAAAGGTACATCTAAGTTCTGCTTTTTGAACTGTTCCAAATCCTACTTCAATTAGGGGCTCTCTTCTTCAATTCTGACCACCAGGGTGCAGCTTGTCTTGAATGGACCTGAGATACTGAAACGTTGAAGTTGCTCCAACGTAGGAGCTACCATGACCTCATATGAAGGCCATCAAGCTTAACAACTCTGGAGTCTTCGACTGGTTGGCTCTTTGACCGCCAGCTGGGTGCTTTCAGTCTAACTCGGGCATGCCAATTTCTCCACAGGAGGCAGCCAGTTTGCACCTAGGTTTCATTAGTGTAACAGTTACTGATTGTGTGTGAGGACCTCTACACGTACCTTGAGTTCTGGTGTTAAGATGAGATGAAAATTAGAAGATAGGGCTTGAGGATCTATGTTTAAATGCAGTGAAGAACTCTCAAGGAACTTCTCTATGTCTTGGAGAGCTTTCTGAGCTCCTTCCCGGGACTGGCATTTGTCCAGTGGCTGGTTGGCTAGAAGATACACACCTTCATCGCAACATTCCAGGGCCTAATGGAGAGACAGGGTGGATAAAGAAGGTCTATGGGTCAATCAGAAAGCCCCGAACAATCATCCCATCTCCACTGGCATCTCTACCATGCGGTGGCCTAGAGGTGGGACTCTTGCCTCCACAATCAGGTGGCTCTGAGTTCAATCCTAGGTAGAGGCAGATATTTCTCTCTCTGGGTATGATGAGAATATAACTCTGCATTGACAACAGGAAGGGCATCTGGCCAGTAAACACTTAGCTCCATTCAGTTGCCCCGACTCCACCCTGCAAGGGATTTACAGGGTCAATAACAGAAAAAAAAATATAAATATGGGCATCTCCACCATTTCCTACTGAAGAGAAAGGTGGTTGAAGCGAAGACTTCCTGCATTTACATCCTTGGATTACCTGCTGCAGAGAAGTGAGGAGGTCTGATGTTTGCTGGAGCCTGTTGTGTTTCCTTTTGATTTCCTCCAGCAAGATGTCTGAATGGTAGCGCAACTCGTTGCACTGCTGGCAAATCAGGTTGAGGGCATAATGGTGGCTGGCCGCCATTTGGTGTCCGTGAAGAATCACAACGTGAGCTTTTGCTGTTAGATCCTTTTAACGACAACGGTGGTGGAAGGGGGAAACGAGATGGAGTTATTGTCAAAATCATGAGGCCAAGTCACCTCCCATAAGGCTGGTCCATATTCACAAGTCTGTTTTCCATGGCAACAGGACTCACTTGTGCTGTTTGCTCCAAGTTATCCAACTCTGAGAGCCTTTGCGTCACTTGAGCGAGGTTTTCTCCCGTGTCTAACAATTCCCGCTGCTGGGTTGTTAAGAATTCCAGGGCTTTACTGAGCTGAAAAAGAGAGAAACTTTGCTTTCAAAGGAAATAAACTCAAAACAAACAGAGGGTGGCACCATTTATTTAGAACAGGCACAAAGCAGTCCGTGGCTCTCACACTGCTTGAAAATTCAGGTCCATCTCTGGTTTTTTGGGGGAGGTGGGGGGTGAGATCTGGTGCCTCCCACCCCCAAAAGGCATTGATAAAAATGGGATATATTAAAAACCTCCATCAAAAATACTTGGTTTAAGTATTGGCGTGTGCTATTTTGGTGAGAAAGGAAGGAAGGAAGGAAGGAAGGAAGGAAGGAAGGAAGGAAGGAAGGAAGGAAGGAAGGAAGGAAGGAAGGAAGGAAGGAAGGAAAGAAGGAGAGAGGGAGGGAGGGAAGGAAGGAAGAAGGAAAAAAGAAAAGGAAGGAAAGCAGGAGGAAAAAAGGAAGGAAAAAGGAAGGAAAGAAAAAAGGAGGGAGGGAAGGAAGGAAGAAGGAAAAAAGAAAAGGAGGAAAGAAAGAGGAAGGAAGGGAGAAAAAAGGAAGGAAAGAAAAAAGGAGGGAGGGAAGGAAGAAGGAAAAAGAAAAGGAAGAAAGAAAGAGGAAGGAAGGGAGAAAAAAGGAAAGAAGGAAGAAAGAAAGTAAGAGTGTGAGGGAAGGAAGGAAGAAGAAAAAAAGAAAAGAAAGAGGAAGGAAGGAAAGGAAGGAAGGAGTAAGGAAGGAAGGAAAGAAGAGGAAAGAAGGAAGGAAGGAAGGAAGGAAGGAAGGAAGGAAGGAAGGAAGGAAGGAAGGAAGGAAGGAAGAAAAAAGGAGGGAGGGAAGGAAGGAAAAAAGAAAAGGAAGGAAAGAAAGGAAGGAAGAGGAAGGAAAGAAGGAGGAAGGAAGGAAGGAAGAAAGAAAGGAAGGAAGGAAGGAAGGAAGGGGGGAGAGAGAGGGGGAGGGAAAGAGATATGGAGGAAAAAAGGCAAAAATATTAGATCCAGCCCTGTGGTTATACCGGCTATCAATGGGCTTCTTGCAATCCTCCAATACCAAAATAATTCATTTTTAAAATGTTCCTCTTCTGATAGAAAATCTCACTAGAAAGCTAATTTCTCCCTTTCTGAAATCATTAGAAACTACCTCCTACTTCTCTGAAACTTCTCAGAAAGACCAAAGTCTTTTCTTCTCACCTCTTGGAAATTCTGCTCAAACTTCCACAGTTCCAAGTATTGCTCCATCTTCAGCTGATGTTTCTCCCAGAATCCATCAAAAGCTGTCTCCATCTCGTGAAGTTGGGTGAGTAAGCTTTCCTCGCAGGAGCAAACAAAGCCAATCACTTGGTGGATCCATGCATGTTTCTCCATGTCTTCTGTCCTACATCTATCCAAAGGACTCACAGGGATTTACCCACAGCTCAGTCTAGAAAGTCTACCTTGGTTTTGATGTCAACCAGTTTTGAGATTACATAGCCTTCCGATTTCTGGCCTTCTTAAGTGAAAACTGGAATCGGGGAAGAGTGGCTGATTTGTGGACAAAGGCTAAAATAACATCCATAAATTGGGGTTGTGGGGCACAGCACACCACTTTGTATTAATTCTAAGGAGTTTTTCCATTCTTCTGACCCACCTCTTTCCACGATCGCCAGCAAAATTGGCCATTTATCCTTTTCCAATTCATCTACTACTCTACAACCTTTTAACCTTGGCGTTTGAAGGAACTGACCTGGGCCTGCATGACCATGTTTGATTCCTAGCCCTTAACTTAACAAACACAAACTGGACAGAGGCCAGGAAGAAGTGGTGAGAACAAGAACCAAGGTTCTGTGAGCAGAGATGGCCCATGAAATTTTTACACTTAGGCAATTGGATCTATGAATTAAAGAGAGTTTAAGCCCCCTTTAACCAGGTGCTTGTCCTACTCTTCTGTGACATTATATCTCTTAAGATGACTTCTTTGACTCAGCCAATGTTTACCTGAGGTTCTCCTTTGAATCGCTTTGGGCAGCTCCACCTGAACTTCTAGTCACTCAGCCTAAAACTAAGCTTCAGGTTCACGATACTCACCGATGGACAGTCTCCCAGTCACTGGATCTCTCTTGTTGCTTGTCCTCTTCCAGACCTTCCATGTCTGGTTCTTCTAAACTACACAACAACATCTTCCCTTCTTTGGTAACTGCAGTGATGTCTTCCTGCAAAAGACAGCAAAGGTCTTCTGATCCAGATGATTCCCCCAACCACCATGAAGGTTATTCTAGGAGGGGCTCAACTTCCCCTGTCTTACTCAACAAACTAGGGTTTGCCATGACTGATGAACCGAATCCAGGACTGAAGGTTGGCAAATTAATACCGGAACAGCAAGGAAATGGCTACGATTTCTTTCAACTTGCCTTTAGCTGATAGTATTTCTCCGTCCGCAGGGCCAGGATGCGCTCAATGGAATAAGTTTCATCCGGCAGTTGTGTTTCAGCTAACTCCATGCCAAAAGATTGCAACATCTGAGCGGTTTCCTTCACCGTGAGTGCAAAGCTTTCTATAGCCTAGCAAGCAAACATTGTTGTTTTAGGCATTTCTTCAGTAAAATCGGATTAAGGTTCCCCCTGAGATGCTGATGGATCCCACCTTCCCTCCACTGGTGTTTGGAAAGTGCTGGTTTGATTTCCAGACAATGATTTCCAGACAACAAGGAATATTTCTTATTATGTAGGCAAGGCTAGGTTGTTGTTTTTTTATGCAGACTTTGGCCATATCCTTCCAGTCCATTCAGGCGTAGACATGGAGCCCCGGAGGCTCAGCTAATAAACTCAGATTTTTTTTTTTGTCTTTTAATGATATTGTAATCCCTTGCATCGGGATGGAGTCAGGGTAACTGAGTGAAGCTGAGTGTTTACTGGCCGGATGCCTTTCCTGTTGCCAATATGGAGTCATAAACCCAGAATATTGGTATAAAAATGTTAACCTCATAAACGTACCGTTCTGAAGATGACCCACTCACTATGGCAATACTCCAAGGTGCCTCCGAATTCGGGTGTCAATTGCTTTTCATCGATGTATGTCAGTAGTTCACTGACGGAACTCAGCATTACCACCTAGAGAAGGTGGAGGGAGTGGGAGAAAGAAAAGTCAATCAGAGTTGCTTGTCCTCATGAAGTCCATTTAGCATAGAAGCTCAATTTGATAGAACACTGTGGGTATGTTCGTGGATTGATTGGATTCAGCCTGAGGAGCAGACAGACAATTTGGGGCAGAAAGTTCAGAGTCATGTACGTTGTGTTATCCCCTGGGACACACCACGGAAGTGAAAACTGAATTCTGAAGAAGCAGGAGAGGAAGAGTATTGATGCCTTTGAGCTTTGGTATTGTAGAAGATCTCCGGAGAAGACCAGAGAAATAAATGGATCACTGAACAAATCAACTCAGTGTTCTCCCTCAAGGCTCAAATTGTCTTTATTTGCACACCAGATGCAAAGATCTAGTTTTCTCTGGAGAAGGCTGTGATGATGATGGGAATGGTGAAAAGAATGAGGAGGACAATCCGCAGCAAAAGCAGATGGACTCAGTTACAGAAGCACTGAAAGTATTATTGGAGATCTCAAGGACGGATCATAGGAGGGTCTAGCTAAGCAAACAGAAGAGTCAGTGGACTTGGTGGCTTCTAAGCATCACCAAGCAGAACATTAAAAAGAAAACCAATGAGTTGGCAAAGCCTACAAGCTAAATCAGGTTACAATTCTCTAGGGATCCCGAGCTATGGCAGAACCAGCCGAGAGACGGGATTGTAACTAAATTCTGCTTCTGTTTCCTTCCTCTTTCTCTTGTCTAAAAGAAGTCATCTTGGGCAAAGGACATCTCAAGCTTCGTACAATTGATATGGATACTGCTGAATGAAGGGCAGCTGTCCTTCAAGATATTGCCTCCACCTTTATACCTATTACAATTAAAACTGCACAATGAGGAATAGCTCTAAAATTTCCCACTTGGTTAAAAAAAATCCCCAAATTCCAAAGCTGCGGCATTAAATGCGATTTGAAGCAACAGGGAATCTCACCGGAAGTTTGAGAAGGAAGTCCTCTTGGCTAAACCGGAAACCAATGTCGGTAAAAGTGCGCTGGAAAAACCCAGTGGGACGTAGAACCATCACAAGGTGGAGATTCCCAGGAAAAGAAGTCTGGAGTTAGAAAGAAAGACGAATAAATAAATGTTATTCTTCCCCATAAGAACCAAATCCTAAACCAGTTACAGAAAGAAGGTTTTACTAGACACACATCACTCAAAAGAGAGAATAAAAAACTAAATAGCCCAGAACACATCCTCTCCAGCAGCCCATATCCAGATAAGCAGGGATTAACACCAGACAAACAATCAAGTAGGAAAAAAAATTCGCTAATCAAGGACCCACCAAGGAGAAAACTACACCCCCACCAATGCTGGCAGCACAAACTACTGTGTATGAATCGGAAACAAACCTCACACTCTCTTGCACGGATGAAGTCACCTAGTAGGGTAATAAAACGTCTGCACAGAAACAACTGTTGTGGTTAGCCGGCAGCAGGTGCAGATGGTTGAGGAGAGCGAGGACTCAGATGAGGGGCCAGGACCATCAGGGAGTGGACTGCTGCCTTCAGAGATTGTGGGGGGGCTGGCAGCAGTGATGAGGAGGTTCCTGAGGAGCCTGTGCCCAGTGCACGTGCGTGCAGGGCTGCTAGCAGGAAAGAGCAGTTGCAACAGCATGGGAAATTCGGGAGTAAGGCTGCAAGGTAACGGCCCCTCCTTCAAAGAAGATAAAAGCCAGCTGTGAAACGAACCTTCTTTGCAGAAGGCAAAGATGTTTTGAGACTCCAGCCTCGTGGACATTCCAGTATCCTGAGTTTGTATTTGAAGATTCTTATTTTGCAAATCATTTCTTGTCTGTTATCTTTTGGCAAATCTCGCACAGTTTGGCAAGGCTTGTGTTTATCACAGCTAATGATTTTGTAAATGCATTACAAGGTTTCTGTTCCTTTTGGAGTGTGTTTGATTTGTTGGAAACGGGCATGGGTCAGAACAACAACCGAGCTCACCCTTCACCTCTCAGCTGCAGTTATTCTCTATTAGAATTTTCTACCGTTGGAATAAAAGTTTTAGCAAATTAGCAGCCTCAACCTCACTTTAATTCTTAGCCACTAATGACTCTTCTGTGGGACACAGAGAAAAGCTGGTGATAAAACATAGGAGGAGGGGGAAAAGTCTTAAGGAAACATTTTCATTTCAGCAAGGTTTTAACGGTGGCCCTCTCACGAACACTTTGTCAAAGGAATGCTAATGAGCACGAATTAAAGTTTCACATCATTGGCAATTGATATTGTACCCCAGCGTGAGACCTCACACCAGAAATCCAGATAGAAATGCACATTTTCCTTTCACCCGCTGTGCCAAAATACTGCAATTCAGTCCTTTTCCACTGAAACAAAACAGCTGGATTCCTTCAGTGTTTGAATTCCGCTTTCTAATAAGGTTTAAATTTCGTATCATTTGTAGAACAGCACTCTGATCTGACAGACACTATAAAAAACACTATAAAAAGATGTTGAGACTCTAGAAAGAGTGCAGAGAAGAGCAACCAGGATGATGAGGGGACAGGAGGCTAAAACATACGATGAATGATTGCAGGAATTGGGTATGGCTAGTCTAGGGAAGAGAAGGACCAGAGGAGACAGGAAAGCATCTTCCAATATTTGAGGTGCTGCCACAGAGAGGAGGAAGGGGTCAAACTATTTTCCAAAGCCCCTGAAGGCCAGACAAGGAATAATGGATGGAAACTGAACAAAGAGAGATTCAACCTGGAAATAAGGAGACATTTTCTGACAGTAAGAACAATCAACCCATGGAACAGAAGTTGCCTTCAGAAGTTGTGGGAGCTTCATCCCTGGAGGCTTTCAAGAAGAGACTGGACCGCCATCTCTCAGAAATGACCTACAAGGCCTTTTCCAACTCTGTAAATCTGTTAAGACACATCGACAGTCAACAGAAATGTCAACAGCAAGGATGAACCGAATCCTCTGCTTTCCTCAGAACACAAGAAATCAACTTCTGGATTAGAGGAACATGTGAATGCTGATCCATCCCCTTGCTCAAGCAGGAGATCCCATACCATTCTGGACAAATGGCTGTCCAGTCTCTTCTTAAAAATTTCCAGTGATGGACCTCCCAAAGGTGCTTTTTTTCAAGAGACAACTGGGCTTTCTGTTTTTTCTTTGAAGAAGTTTTTGCTTCTCATCCAAGAAGCGTCTTCATCTCTGTTCAGACTTGAGTATTTCCATAGATCTCCAGTGATGGAGCAAGCTGTTCCACTGATTTAATTGTTCTCACTGTCAAGAAATTCCTCCTTAATTCTAGGTTGGATCTCTCCTTGATTTGTTTCCATCCATTTGCTTCTTGCCTTGCCTTCAGGTATTTTGGAGAATAGCTTGACCGCCTCTTCTTTGGGGCAGCCCCTCAAGTCTGGGAAGATTGCTATCATGTCACCCCTAGTCCTTCTCCTTGTTAGCCTAGACATACCCAGTTCCCTCAATCATTCATTATACATGACCTCGCTTAATAATGATGTCATGACCACTTCCATCCTCGCCCTCAAAAGACATCACACTCCTAAGAGCTATTTTTAAGCAAGCCTCAACTAATGAGCGGATGCAAATGAATTGATAACAGTGTCCAATTTAAGCCGGTGGGAATTCTGCCAGTTGGCTCTTTCATGCCGTGCAGCGTGGGAGGAATAAGCCAAACTCAGCCCTTCATCCTTCATCACTGGAGGCTCAGGAATGGTTTGCAAAGGCGAGACCTGAGGATCTTTGCCCCCAGTTCTCCCCCCCCCACCCCCAGAGGACCACAAAAGGAAGGTTCTGAAGATTAGCCAGACACAAGTGGATGGGAAGTGGGTGTGTCAGTTCCAGTTCACCTTTACCTGGACATTAATTGGGGGAGGGGGAGTTAGAACCACACAGGCTGCATTTGGTGCCTGGAGGTGTGAAGGGGGATTTCCTCCCATCTAGGGTATCTGATACAACTAGTCCCAGTATAAGGCCTGCTTTATTCCAAAATGAAAATAAAGATGTTTGTTACTTTTACTCCCTCCCTCTGTCCCTGCCTCCCTCTCTCTCTTCCTCTCTGTCTTCTCTCTTTTCCTTCCTTCCTTCCTTCCTTCCTTCCTTCCTTCCTTACCTCCCTCCCTCCCTCTTTCTTTCTTTCTTTCTTTCTTTCTTTCTTTCTTTCTTTCTTTCTTTCTTTCTTTCTTTCTTTCTTCTTTCTTTCTTTCTTCTTTCTTTCTTCCTTCCTTCCTTCCTTCCTTCCTTCCTTCCTTCCTTCCTTCCTTCCTTCCTTCATTTTTCCTTCCTTCCTTCCTTCCATCCTTCCATCCTTCCTTCCTTCCTTCCTTCCTTCCCTCCCTCCTTCCTTCCTTCTTCCTTCCTTCCTTCATTTTTCCTTCCTTCCTTCCATCCTTCCATTCATTCATCCTCCTTCCCTCCCTCCCTTCCTTCCTTCTCTTTGCAAGATAGAGATGAGACCAAAAGCCAGAGAGAATACTGTGCTGGGAGATTCTACTCTCAACTGCTTGTCCAATTTCCCTTCCACAGGCGCACGCCTCAGGGCAGGCTAAATAAAGTTTTCAAAACCAGCCTCCAAAATAATTTTCTTTTCTTTTTTTTCCTATTTTTAAGAAAAGGCCATTTCTTCAAACATTGGGGTGGGAGAACCCGCAGGGAAAAAAAAAAAGGTTTATTCCTAGTAGTAGCAATAATGAAGTCTAATAATAAAGCCAGTTAGAATATATTACATGCAATCTTCTTTATGAGTAGGTTAAAAAGCCTGGCCTGATTTTTTTTTTGTTAAGGATTCTTCCCATTGAGTGCAGGAGGCCTTGAAAAGAAGAATTCATGTTTGAGTCATTGGTCTCCTTCACTGGTCCCCCCTTCTGTCCCTCCCCCTCTCTCTCTCCCTTCCTCCATCCATATCTATCTATCTATCTATCTATCTATCTATCTATCTATCTATCTAT